CGACCGGGTTAAGACTAACCCTACCTTTTCTATTCTATCGGCTCGCTGCGCTCGCTCTAAAAACGAGCTCGCTGGGGCTGCGCCCCATCTCGCCGGTCTACACGTTACTTAGGTCTCAACCCCGTTGAACAATATTCAATACACACGTACACGTACACGTAATAGACGCTGAACCGCAGCCTAGGGGTGGAACGGCATGCCGGCCGTGTAGCGGTTGCGCATGTGCATCAGCCGCAGGATCGTGAAGAGGAAGCGCGACTCATTCATCGTGCGGACCAACCCCCCTCGCCCCCGCCCTACCGCTGTGCCCTCTGCCCCCGCCTGTCTGGTGCTAGGTCTGGTGCACGTCTGGTTTCTGCCCCCAGCCCCAGTGTATAGTTTTGATGCCGCGCCCCTCGAGCTTTCCTCGCCCAGTGAATGATGAGCCCAGTGCTGCTGCTCGGTCCCGCCCGCTGCTGCTTCCCCCCCCCCCCCCCCCCGATTGCCGTCCCTGTCCACTGATGAATGAATGGAGTCGCTGTATATTTTCATAATATGTGCATGTGCCCGCTGCGAGCACATAAAACGTAGCAGCCAGCACACACACATGGTGTGCTTGTCTGAAATGCGCAATGTATGACGCATCATACACAATACATAATACATAATACATAACATACGATGTGGACTCCCACGTCCCCCAGTGCGTAATACATAATACATAATACGTAATACGTAATACATAACAGACGATGTGGACTCCCAGTGCGTAGTGCATAATACGCATAATACGTAATACATAATACATAACAGACGATGTTGACTCCCAGTGGCAGTGCGTAATACACAATACGTAATACGTAATACGTAATACATAACACACGATGTGGACTCCCAGTGCGTAATGCAAATGCATAATACATAATTCATAGGAGTTTTGTGACACTCGGTCGTAATGCACATCCATTCGCCTATGTATTATGTATCTGTGTTATGCATTCACGCGCCGCGACGCGGGAGGGTGGGAGAGGGCGACGTATTTTGCAAATACGTAAATGTATAGGCGCTAAGGTTATGGATCGGTAAGGATGCATATCACGATGCGAATGCATAGGGGGCAGAGTGCATATACATAACAGTACTGACCACGATTGGAAGGGAGCGAGCGACGAGTGGACGAGACTCGAGAGAGTGGCGTGTGCAGACCGCAGAGGGTCTGTGCGTGACGGCACCCCTGCGCGGTAGAGTGAGATTCACGTCCCACAGAAGAGTACAGGCCACGAGCAGGCAGCTAAGCGAACACGGATCGATCAGAACCCGTCGCACACACAGTACCTATCCGAGCAGAAGCCCTCGAGCGGGTTCCGCCAGTCAACCTTCTTCCCGCAGCGGCCGCACTCGCTCGGCCCTCGGCCCAGAGCAGGCGGCAGGCGGCGCGGCGCCTCTGGCGTGGCGTGCATCGTAGGCGGTGGCCTCGACTGACGCTCGACGCTAGATTCGCGAATCGAGGATGCGGTAAGTGTCAAGCAATGGTTGCGCAGCGAGTGCACAGCATCGGCCTCTCGTCGACTCACCGCCACGCCCTGAACAACAGGTACACCATGTACAATCGGCTGGCTCATGACACGCTGTGAGACAGCGCGTGAACAGATCGTTTATGTGAACAGATCGAACGGGGGCCGATCAGAACGGAACCAGGTCGCGTCAACAAAGCGAGCGGCCGGCGAGTAAAAGAAATTTGAACTCCCGAACCAGTTAAGTGAGGCGAGGCGCACCGCGCTGCGAGCCTGTCGTGTCCCTTATCAGGAGCAGGAGAGCCCCACCTGTCCCCCTGATCGTT